AAAAAAAAAAAAAAAAAAAAAAAAAAAAAAAAAAAAAAAAAAAAAAAAAACCAACAACAACAACAACAAAAAAAACCTCTCAAAAAAAAAAATCTAGGGAAGCTTCTAAATCAACATCAAAACTGTAATTGGTGAAGTGTGTGTGAGAGAGAGGGGGGCAAGTGAAAGGGTCTGTACTATTGAATCATGGGGTAAATATGACATGCAGAATGTTTGATTCAAAGGCTGGATTAAAACTGAAGTTACCAGGGACCAGCAGTTAGCATAATGGCTATGTCGCTGGACTCCCATGTAGTCAACCACACTTTGAATCCCAGATCCGGTGACTTAAAGCTCACACTGGGGGTGTGTGTGTTATGTGCCCAAGATCCCAAGAGGAGAATGGATGTGTTATGTGCTCAAGATCCCAAGAGGAGAATGGAGGAGAAGGGATTGTAGCATGGCCATCTCCCCTAGGGGCTATTTCTCGCTTTCTGTCTCTGTCTTCCTGGGGAGTACATGCACCCTATAGGAAAAAGCCTATCAAACAAAACAAAACAAAACTGAAGTTACCATAGGCCTCACACACTTGCTTTGCTTGTTTGGTTATAATTGTTAAGCTCAGGGCAGTCAGAAGGGCCAGGTGGGATCCCTAGTCACAAGTCTAGTAGTTTGGTTCTAGATCAAAATATTAGCTGTTTAATATATTTTTGAAGACTTTTCTCATGTGTGACATTTAGGCTACATGCCCCTGGAGACAATCACAATTGCCACCCTAGTGAAAAAAAGGGAGAAAGAGTATAATAGACAGTACACCAGCGAGCCGTAGAGTGGCTTAGAAGTGGTGGATGTGATGACACAGGGGAACTGGACATGAGGCCCAGCACAGTAGTGTAGGTTTTAGGGTGCCACTGTGCAGTACTGGAGCCCCCTGGGAAACCCAGGTTCGGAGCTGGGTTGACCTGATCATACCAGGTGCCCACATGTCCTGGTTGGCTAGGAGGCTGGGGGAGGGTTGCAGCATGCTGAGACCCTCAAGGGTTGTCACTCTGTCTCTCAAAAATAAAATAAACTTTAAATTCAAGGTTAAGAAAATAAGAACTAGAAATAAATGACATAACCTACACCCCTAAAGTTGATGGGGATTGCTTTATGTTTAAATCCAGGCACATCTTCTAGAAAGGGATCCTATAGTTAAGAGATTTTATAATTTTCTGGCCCCAAACTCTGCATATTTCTCTTCTTTTTTGGAGAGGTTTTTGCTATAGGGCACGTGCACTTACCAGAAAGACAGAGAGAGACAGCGAGACAGAAAGCGAAAAAGCACCCCCCAAGGAGGATAGCCATGCCGCAATCCCTTCTCCTCCTTTCTCTTCTCGGAATCTTGGGCATGCACGCACACGCGCCAGGTATGAGTTTTAAGCCACCGGGTCCAGGATGTGAACCGCGGTCGACTATATGGGAGTCCAGCAATATAGCCATTATGCTAACTGCTGGTCCCTCCTCTTGAGATCTTGAACACACATGCACATGCATGCAATGTGAGATTAATCCACCAGGTCCGGGACTCAAAACGCAATCAGTCGCAACGTGAGATTAAGCCACCAGGTCCAGGACTCGAACCGCAATCAGCTACATGGGAGTTCAGCAACATAGCCATTATGCCAACTGCTGGTCCCTGCATATTTCTCTTCTTTCCTCCTAATATTTACTTGAAGGCTGAGCATGTTTTGGAGGTTTTCTCAAAGCTCAGTCTAAGGACCGACATCAGATGCAGAATCTGCATTTTAATACAACCCTGTGTGATTTCTATGCATGTAAAAATGTAGCAAGCACTATTTCAGAGGGTCATCAGAAAAGACTGAGGTGTCAGTAATTCCGAAAGCACGGTCCCTGGACCAGAAGCCTCAGGACCACCTGGGAACTTAGAAATGCAAACTTTTAGCCCTATCGCAGAACTACAGAATCAGAAACTCCACAGTGAGGTCCAGTAGACTATTTTGACAAGCTTTCCAAGGTGATGCTGATGCTTGAATAGGAAACACTGATTTAGGCAGATGGTGAAACCAACCAAGGAGCTGCAGGTCCTGGGTGTAATAACAGCCATGGCAGGCAAAAGAGGAGGAGGCCGGACCTCTTGCCAGCTGCAACTAATTAGCTGTGTGACCTTGGAAAAGTAGCTTGGCTAATTGACTAGATTGAATTTCATTAGCTGCCAAGATAAAAGCATGGAAGTTCCTTGAATAAAATTTCTCCAAGTGTGATTTGTGGGCATCCAGGTGGTTTGTGGAGGGCTCACTCAGCAGTTTCAGAAACAAAAATAATAGCATAAGTAATAAAGATAATAAGCAAAAATGAATTGTGCCGAAATATGTTGGATGATTTTGAAATGCTAA